ATTTCATTACATTCAACACTTGTTTTCCGAGGGAAGCCCCTTGTGGCTCCCTGAAGCTAACTACCCATGGAGACAGAAGAAAAAGGGCACTAACCATGGGAGAGGAAGCACCGCAAGTATCAGGACAACAAACAGATTATCGTCACAAGACATATCCCAAGGCCACACAAGGCCAATTTAGTATTTACTATTATGATTATACAAATATTGTATTATGCATGCACACACATGTGCATAATACCCAATATACAGGCCTGAATAATTGTAAAACTTTTTATGCATAACATGCTTCCAACAATAAAAATTATATATATATATATATATATATATATATATATATATATATATATATATATATAATATCAAAGTGTTCTGTAAGGATCCACAAGGTCTTCTCTGAGTACTCTTTATTTTCTTCTCCGAGGCTATGGTGTGAGGTATGTATATATATATATATATATATATATATATATATATATATATATATATATATATATATATATATATATATATATATATATATATATATATCAGTCATGTCATTCTCTCACTTATGACTACTGCATTCTCTCACTTATGACTACTGCCATTGATGTCTGTCAACAAACAATAGTTAATAAATAAACAAGCATGATGAACACTATACATTCAGCCACCTGCCGGGACACTACTCAGGTCACATCTTTCTATGCACTACACTGAAAGCTTATATAAAATAAGATAAAATAAAATAATATAAATAAAATATCCAGTATATAAAAAGCACAGATGAAAAATTGGCATATTTTATCATTAGAGAAAAATCTCTAGAGCTTTAGTCATATATGACTGACTGGTTATATGTATTACAGTATATATATTTACTTATTTATTTATTTATTTATTTGAGGGACTGTGCTCAGGAGTCAAACTGGCGGCGTATACACTTGAGTGCCGATAGTCAGCCTTGGGGCAGATTTAGCAGGAAATACAAGGTAATCTTTTACAGACTTCACATTACAGGCTAGAATCCAAAATGCAGATTTACCGTATCAATATTTTGTATGAAGCCCAGCACCCACAGCTTTTAACAAGTACAGTACTGGTATCTGGTACTTATGGTGTCCAATGGGCAAGTAAAACATGTTATCATTACCAACAACAAAAATAAGATTTACAGCAAAAAACCTTACAAAAACATAAGACACATTTTTATAAAATTGTACATTATATTTAATACAGGACCAAATCTTTGCATATACTCTAATCCCGGTCTATAGTCCTGTAAACATTTACATGGATGAGGACGCAACACACCATGTGAACCTTGAGGCAACACACCATGTGAACCTCGAGGCAACACACCATGTGAACCTTGAGGCAACACACCGTGTGAACCTCGAGGCAACACACCGTGTGAACCTTGAGGCAACACACCATGTGAACCTTGAGGCAACACACCATGTGAACCTCGAGGCAACACACCATGTGAACCTTGAGGCAACACACCGTGTGAACCTCGAGGCAACACACCATGTGAACCTTGAGGCAACACACCATGTGAACCTCGAGGCAACACACCATGTGAACCTTGAGGCAACACACCATGTGAACCTTGAGGCAACACACCATGTGAACCTTGGGGCAACACACCATGTGAACCTTGAGGCAACACACCATGTGAACCTTGAGGCAACACACCATGTGAACCTCGAGGCAACACACCATGTGAACCTTGGGGCAACACACCATGTGAACCTTGAGGCAACACACCATGTGAACCTTGGGGCAACACACCATGTGAACCTTGAGACAACACACCGTGTGAACCTTGAGGCAACACACCGTGTGAACCTTGAGGCAACACACCGTGTGAACCTTGAGGCAACACACCGTGTGAACCTTGAGGCAACACACCGTGTGAACCTTGAGGCAACACACCGTGTGAACCTTGAGGCAACACACCGTGTGAACCTTGAGGCAACACACCGTGTGAACCTTGAGGCAACACACCGTGTGAACCTTGAGGCAACACACCGTGTGAACCTTGAGGCAACACACCGTGTGAACCTTGAGGCAACACACCGTGTGAACCTTGAGGCAACACACCATGTGAACCTTGAGGCAACACACCGTGTGAACCTTGGGGCAACACACCGTGTGAACCTTGGGGCAACACACCGTGTGAACCTTGAGGCAACACACCGTGTGAACCTTGAGGCAACACACCGTGTGAACCTTGAGGCAACACACCGTGTGAACCTTGAGGCAACACACCATGTGAACCTTGGGGCAACACACCATGTGAACCTCGGGGCAACACACCATGTGAACCTTGGGGCAACACACCATGTGAACCTTGAGGCAACACACCGTGTGAACCTTGAGGCAACACACCATGTGAACCTTGAGGCAACACACCATGTGAACCTTGGGGCAACACACCATGTGAACCTCGGGGCAACACACCATGTGAACCTTGGGGCAACACACCATGTGAACCTCGGGGCAACACACCATGTGAACCTTGGGGCAACACACCATGTGAACCTTGGGGCAACACACCGTGTGAACCTTGAGGCAACACACCATGTGAACCTTGAGGCAACACACCATGTGAACCTTGGGGCAACACACCATGTGAACCTTGGGGCAACACACCATGTGAACCTTGGGGCAACACACCATGTGAACCTTGGGGCAACACACAGTGTAAACATACTGAAAACTGTTCAATATGCTAATGAAAATATTAAGATCAGAGGTTGTAATATGGGAAATTTATGTTGCACGACTCAAAAGTATTCAGCCATATTGTTTCAAACCTGTTAAGGGTTTGTCTGGAATATGTCAAGCACAAATGGCAGTAAGGAAACTTTAAACAGCTTCAACAGCCCAGTGAACAACCCACTGATTACTCGAAGGTAGCAAACATCTCTAAGGATATCATCCTTTGGTATTGAATTGAATAACTCTTAAAACACAGATAAGAATAGTGGCTGCAGACAAACAACAGGATACAGCTGCACACACAATGTACTCACTAGAAAGAAGATGCGCGAGAGATACAGTACCAAATAATATACACGTGGAAGATACTGGAGGGCCAAGTACCAAATCTACACAGTAAAATAACAACATACTGGAGTGAACGATATGGAAGAAAATGCAGAATAGAACCAGTGAAGAGCAGAGGTGCCATAGGCACAATCAGAGAGAACTGTATAAACATCAGAGGTCCACGGTTGTTCAACACCCTACCAGAGAGCATAAGAAATATTGCCGGAACAACTTTGGACATCTTCAAGAGGAAACTAGACAGTTTCCTCCAAGGCGTGCCAGACCAACCGGGCTGTGGTGGGTATGTGGGCCTGTGGGCCGCTCCAAGCAACAGCCTGGTGGACCAAACTCTCACAAGTCAAGCCTGGCCTCGGGCCGGGCTTGGGGAGTAGTAGAACTCCCAGAACCCCATCAACCAGGTATCAACATACATGTACACACATGTACTCAAACATACACAATGACATAAACATACAAATACATGCAGTAAATCATGTCTCATTATTAAAATAAAATTTCTTAAAATAATTAGTTATTTTAACATGGATGTTACTGATGTGCAAAAAACTGAGTCTTGTACCCTTCAGTAAATACTATATAAATAATTATAAAATATATCCAAGTCAATCACTGAATAAATATTGTTTCAACAACAAAAAATTTCAAACATTAAAAACTTATCAGATTCTTCATATATACACAACACAGACTCTTGCTAAAACACTAAGCGATCATCATTGCACCTTCCCAAGTCGAGCACCTGCTGGCCACACCATCATCATTAATCCAAGAATTGAATATAAATGGTTTACTATGTAAAGATTTCAACGCTTGTAAAGAGTATACACACTGTCATATGCATTTTTGCTCCCTTTGTAAACATGAATTCAAGTTACTGCTTCCCTTGCAAACATGCATACAAATTAGTGCCCCCTTAGCAAACATGCACATTCACTCCTCAATCATCTATATATTAGTTAAACTTTTCTAGAAGTTAGTTTATCGATACAGTAATAAAAATTAATAAAAGACAATTTGCTAATGCTGAGACAAGATGGCTTTAAATGAGGCCATACCTAATTTTCAGAGCCATGCTCAACCAGCCACAGTAATCTGATGAACACCATACTAAGGGGGTGCCATAATGAAGTGTACACAGATGAGGATGGTTCTCCATCCTCATCATGTGTACACAGGTGAGGATGGTTCTCCATCCTCATCATGTGTACACAGGTGAGGATGGAGAACCACCCTCATCATGTGTACACAGGTGAGGATGGTTCTCCATGCTCATCATGTGTACACAGGTGAGGATGGAGAACCATCCTCATCATGTGTACACAGGTGAGGATGGTTCTCCATGCTCATCATGTGTACACAGGTGAAGAGTTGGAGTACAAGAAATGAACAATCACAGAAGTATGTGTTGTTAGGAAAATAAATAAAAATGGAAATGTCACAGGAAGTTGTGGAGTGCCAAGTCAGAAATCACAAGACTGAGAAAATTGCTCCAAAATCCTTGTCATGCTAAATGAATGTATGATAACAGACTAGTGAAGACTATTTGAGTGCATTTAAAGGAAAATGGAAGAGAAAGGTCAAGATGAGCAGATATGATGAGTAAATACGAGGAGGCTGTGACCTGACTACAAATAGTACAGAGGGACTGATAGGCAGCAAGACTAGGTACTAGTCATACATGAGGTATGTTTGTACTGTATATGAGAACATTCAAAGAGTACTATACACTAGTCTTATGACATAGTGTTGTGTGGGTGTAGATGACGTGATGCAGTGTGGTGGTTCTGGCTCTCCATGCGGCTGTGTTGTGTGGGTGTAGATGACGTGATGCAGTGTGGTGGTTCTGGCTCTCCATGCGGGTGTGTTGTGTGGGTGTAGATGACGTGATGCAGTGTGGTGGTTCTGGCTCTCCATGCGGCTGTGTTGTGTGGGTGTAGATGACGTGATGCAGTGTGGTGGTTCTGGCTCTCCATGCGGCTGTGTTGTGTGGGTGTAGATGACGTGATGCAGTGTGGTGGTTCTGGCTCTCCATGCGGCTGTGTTGTGTGGGTGTAGATGACGTGATGCAGTGTGGTGGTTCTGGCTCTCCATGCGGCTGTGTTGTGTGGGTGTAGATGACGTGATGCAGTGTGGTGGTTCTGGCTCTCCATGCGGCTGTGTTGTGTGGGTGTAGATGACGTGCTGCAGTGTGGTGGTTCTGGCTCTCCATGCGGCTGTGTTGTGTGGGTGTAGATGACGTGATGCAGTGTGGTGGTTCTGGCTCTCCATGCGGCTGTGTTGTGTGGGTGTAGATGACGTGATGCAGTGTGGTGGTTCTGGCTCTCCATGCGGCTGTGTTGTGTGGGTGTAGATGACGTGATGCAGTGTGGTGGTTCTGGCTCTCCATGCGGCTGTGTTGTGTGGGTGTAGATGACGTGCTGTAATGTGGTGGTTCTGGCTCTCCATGAGACTGTATTCCAGGTGATTTGTCACCAGTTCTTCGTCTCAAAATGACCAGTTGCTAAAATGTATTTGGACCATAATCTTGTACTTCTTCCCAATTAAATGAGGGGAAAGCAGATTGCCTTACTAATAGTTTTCCCAATTTAAATTTTTCTCATGTATCAAACTATAACATTCATTTCTTGACTGATTGTACAAACATATTTTTATTAAACTACTGGACACGATTTTCAGCCTAACTAATACAAGCAGCAATGCTTAACCTTGAGTCACATGTGTGCAATAATTATACTATTATCACTTCAACTAAGCCTTACATTATATTTTTAAAAAAGGTCTTCCAAAATTAAATGTTTATGTTGCAAATCCTATGTAGCGTACTTCAGAGAAGAGCACTTCAATTGTATATTGGTCAGTTGTATTATTATATGTATTTCTCAATACCTTGGTAATATGTTTCTAGTGAAGCATGCCTAACTAGGGAAAGGCACAAGTTACATGATGAATATTTCTTTCCTAAAGCTTTTCAGTGGATCTTGTATAACTTACATTACAAATGTATTTTATGGGAAAACATCACGATGGTACACAATGAGTGCCTCCACGACTCTCGGCTCTTGAGCTGTATTTGCCAAGGCAAGCAGATCTGCTGGTCGAATATCATCACCAAAAGCAGTGGATTGGATAAGTGTGGGCGCGAAGACAGTGCTCAGGCTGGTGGCACTCATCTTATTGACTGCACTATGCTCATAAACCCTTGAAAAAGGAATATTAAAATGAACTCTCTGGTCATTTCAAATATTAAATGCAGTTTTTATTAAAAACTAATAAAATAATTTATTAATTATAATAAATAATTAAATATGGCAAATATTAAATATTAAATGCAATTTTTTATATAAATTATACATAAAATATTAAAGAATCAATATATGAGATCAGGACAATTCTTCTATTATCAATGTTTATGCCAACACACACACACACACACAGACCCTCTGAAAGTTATCATGTCAACACATACATGCATGCACACATGCACACTCACATGTAATCAATTATGGATTATTAAACATGGGTGGTACACACACAAGGGGACACAGGTGGAAGCTCAGTACCCAATTGAGCCACAGAAAAATTAAAAAGAACTTCTTCAGTGTCAGAGTAATTAGTAAATGGAATGCACTAAGAAGTGATGTGGTAGAAGCTGATTCCATACACAGTTTCAAAAGTAGATATGATAGAACTCAGGAAGATCAGGAATCTGTACACCAGTAGATTGACGGTCGAGAGGTGGGACCAAAGAGCCAAGAGCTCAACATCCGCAAGCATAACTAGGTGGACAAATCCACAAGGGCCGTGACGAGGATTCGAACCTGCGTCTGGGAGCATCCCAGACACTGCCTTAATCAACTGAGCTACGACAGGGTAAAAGGGTTGAAACCGATGTTCTACTGAACTTACTGGATCCCATAGCCTCTCCGAGGCACAAACCAGGATTTTACACAACCCCCCCCCTGCACCCGAGCTATGTCAATAGGCTCCCTCTTTGCCCTTACATCATTACACACAGAGATCACACTAACGTGATGCATCAAATGAACAAATCCACAAGGGCCGTGACGAGGATTCGAAACTCGTGTGCAGAGGGGGTTGTGTAAAATCCTGGTTTGTAAAATCCAGACAGCGGCGTGGCGACGTGTGACGTCACACTAGTTTGCTTGTTTTCTGTTGGGGAGTTCTATCCACTAGTTCGGCTTTTGGTAGCAATTTTAACCAGAATAGGGGTTTGTTTTGGGGCGCTTACCTTTCTGGGTGTCTGATCCGGTTGATGGCAGACATAGAATGCTTCCAACTACACGGGGGTTTTTATAGACCATTGCTCCCCTTGCCTCTCTGAGGGGGGCCCGGTTCTGGCCGTGGTCCCCGGTAGGCCCTAGAACTCCATACACATGACTGATGCTAAAGTCTGACATTAGCATATCAGCCTGGGATAGATCCGGGGAGCCTCCGGGACTCACCCAGAAAATGGCATTTCATTACATTCAACACTGTTTTTTATTCCAATATGGCGGCTGTTTACTATAGCCCACTGAGCAGCATATGGGGGCCCCCTCTACCCCGTGGGCCGTTCAAATCTTGTGCGGTACTCCAAAACATCATATGATGTGGAGCGCAAGTTATTGCAAGTTACTCAACACATCATATGTGTTGCACAGTTTAAGGGTTAAAGGTGACTTTTAATGGAGTGAAGTATATGACAGAAGTGCTTCGGAATACCAGAAAATTGCAATGTGACGAGGATGGCAAACTTTGGTCAATAAGACAAGACCTCTCAAAAGAGGACAGAAGAGCTGAAAATGAATCTCATTGAATCAAAATGTCTAAATGGGGATAGAAATGAACAAGAAAGGAATTCTTTTTTCTACAAAGTGTCAGGGACTGGAAAGCTTGTGAAATGGTACATAAAGACAAAGCAACCAAATCATTAGAGGAAGGGAAATATATTCCTGAAAATAGTATATACCAACATAGATGGAGTGAGATCAAAAATATTGGAGTTGAAGGATATAATTCAGCTCAAAATCCCAGATATTGTCACATTAACAGAGACGAAACTTGAAGAAAATATTTTAAGCGAGATCGTATTCCCAAGGGGCTACTAAGTTTGGAGACGTGACAGGAAAACCAGGAAGGAGGGAGGAGAAGCTGTGCTGGTGAAAGAACACCTGAAGGTAAGAGAATTAATATTTGAAAACCCTCGAGATATTGACATAATGGATATTGCAGCTCTGGAATCAATGATAAGCTACACTACTACACTTAGGTAATTACACACAAAATAATAACAATAAATTGAATCAAACTATTACAAGAATACTAACCTGCCAAGATGTGAAATAATAACTTTGAGTGTTGCGAAGTGTGCTGGTGGCAGAGTCAAGAGAGCCTCTTGGATGCTTGATACTTGTGCTTCTGGATCACTCAACTCTGACAAACAAGAGACTAAATAACAAATCAGGGAAGATCACTCTTTATGAAATGTCCCTAAAATTATAATTGCATAATCCTCATAATTTTCAGGCGTATGAAAACTCAATAGCTTATGTCAACAGTAAAACTTACAAGACTGCCACTTACTGCAAGCTGCCTGTAGTTTATTGAAGCAGTCAGTAGTGATAAGGGGAATAGGGAGAAGTCTGAGGTACAGTTTCAATACTCCAGCGACCACGTTGATGTCTGCGACTGCCTTCTCATTCAAGCTCACTCGGTTGCCATCTGCAATGAAAATAGTCATTTTTAAGTTGGTGACATTGTTCCCGGCCCCCCCCAAAAAAAAATTATATTAATAACCTTAATTTATATAACTGTATAAATACTGTACTTCTAACAGATGCACATTTACAGATTATTTCATTTTTAAAGACAACTTAAAAGCTGCCCTAAGATAGCCATTGACTGAGCAGTGTTACTTACAGGACAATATTCAGGTGGTAGCCAAGGTTAGTTAATGAATTATACAATATAAAAAATACAAATGAACACTATGATTTCTGGAACTATGTTTAAGGTAAGTCTTATAATGGGGAAGGGGAGGGAGTGAATGGTGAAGCAAGAGAACAAAATGACAAACTGCTCAATAAGTATAGTATTTGAGAAATATTGTCATGACATAATATGGGTGTGTGCATCAATCAAAATAATACGAATCTTCATCAACTCTTTTTTTTTTTTTTCTTTTATATATCAGCATCCTACTCACACATGTAGACCTTACCCATGTTTTCCCTTTTTCCCTTACAATACACACACAGACATAAAAGTTAAATTTAAAGCAATTAGATATCTTCCAACAAAATTAGAAACACATTCATTTTGAGGTGATCCAACACATTCATTTTGGGGCGCTCCAACACATTCATTTAGAGGTGTTATAGCATTTTACCTCTTTCAAAAGCCAACTTAAGAGCTTCTATTTGGTCTTGTGAACCAGGAATCCTATAAATGCCTTCTGATGCCAGGCCTCGTGCCTCCACCTCGACTACACACTCAGTCACGACAGCCGGTACATCCTCCCCTGTACCTCCTCGGATCACAAGGCTTGTTGTAAGATCAACACCAAATATACCTATAAAGAAAATGACACACATTTTTAAATATAGAAAATGAGGTACAATTACAATTTTCTTGATTAATTACATCAATATCCATTTCCACCTTTTATGTGGGAAGGATTAGCGCAAAAAAACAGCAAGCCATTCATGACATAATAAATATTACATGGACTCAGTGATAAAGAAGCATCACCACACCAACTAAATATCCACAGCTTCATGAGACTAGGCATACACTGTACCTTGTGTGTTGTCACATGTAATACAACATATCCACTTCCCTCTCATAAACTGTCACCATAAGCGCCCCATGATAATCTCCTCCACCTGCACTATCAGGCGGGAGTTGCCACAAAGATATTATTACTAAATTATTGCAATGTCTGATTTTTTCTGTTTTTTTGCAATAATATTATTCAATAGTGTAAAGTGTGGTATATTTATACAATAAAATGTATGAACCATCACTATACTCAAAAGTATGGTGTGCACATTAGTGATTCAATTATTATGTTCATAAAAAAATAAAAAAATAGTTTTGCTGTTATTACACTATATACAGGGGTACCTCGGTTTACGAATTTAATCCATTCCTGGAGACGGTTGGTAACCCGAAAATTCGGAAACCGAACCGAATTTCCCCATAAGAAATAATGGGAAATTAATTAATCCGTTCCCGACTCCCAAAAAAACCAGCGTTGAATGTAATGAAACGCCATTTTCTGGGCGAGTCCCGGAGGCTCCCCGGAGCTATCCCAGGCTGATATGCTAATGTCAGACTTTGGCATCGGTCATGTGTATGGAGTTCTTAGGCCTACCGGGGACCACAGCCAGAACCGGGCCCCCTCAGAGAGGCAAGGGGAGCAATGGCCTTTAGAAGACCCTGTGTGGTTGGAAGCATTCTATGTCTGCCATCGACCGGAACAGGCACCCAGAAAGGTAAGCGCCTCAAAACAAACCCCTATTCTGGTTAAAATTGCTACCAAAAGCCGAACTAATGGATGGAACTCCCCAACAGAAAACAAGCAGACTAGTGTGACGTCACACGCCGCCGCGCTGCTTTCTGCACAGCTCCCCCCTCCCCGGGAGGGGGAAAGGGGGAGCCCCAGACCCTCCACGCCGGCTACCCACACCTCAGTTCTTGAGGCTGGATGTCAAAAGAGAAAAAAAAAAAAAACGCCGACCAGAGGGAGGGAGGGATGCCGGGGAGCCTCTGGGACTCACCCAGAAAATGGCGTTTCATTACATTTAACGCTGGTTTTCTGTGGGGAGCCCCATCGGCTCCCCGGAGCTAACTACCCACAGACGGAAAAAGAGGGACTTACCCGGGAGGCGGTCGTCGCTCACTCCTCAACTCGAAGCCGAGACAACTGGCTGCAACCGCCAACCCAAAGCAACACAGGCCCGACGGGGCCCAGGGACATTCACAAGGTAACGAGCTGCCAGGACCCTGTTCGACCGCCAAAAGCCCCACGCCCGAATATCAGACCAAGACATATTCCCAAAGACGGCAGCAAGAGCCGCGAACTTACGAACGTCATGGGCACGGGGATAGACCGCAGGCTAGCTGGACTTAATAACCCTGCGGACGACCTGGGAGACCCCGAACCCGCGAACAGGGAAGAAGGGAAACCGAATCAACCCGCAGCGCGTCCCCGGACACAGAAGACGTGGCGCGCAGATAACGGCGAAGCGCCGCAACCGGACGCAAAACCTGATGCACCCCCCGCCTGACCAACCAAGCATCAACCACCCATGGACCCCTCCGGAACGCAGCAGTCTCATTCTTCGCCAGAAAAGAAGGAGACGGCTGCAAGCGAACAAAACAATCACCACGACCTAAAGAGCAGAAACTCCTGCGCCGGAGGAGAGCATGAAGCTCCCCTACCCGACCCCCAGAGGCCAAAGCCAACAAGAAAGTGCCTTGGAAAAATAATCCTGGACCGAAGGGGCCACAACGAAACGAGGAGACGAAAGGAAAGCGAGCACTCTGTCCAAAGACCAGGACGGCTCAGGCGGCGCATTAGCAGGCCGGAGGTGAAACAATGCACGACACAGCTTGCAAAACGGCGCAGACGTAACATAGATACTGAAGGCAAGCTGAAGCGACTCCGCCAGCGCCGCACGATACAAGGCGACAGTGTTAGGCATAAGATGACGGTCCTGAAACAACCACGAGAGGAAGGACAAGACCACCCGAACAGATAAGGAACTAACACGATGAGGACGCAAAAAGAAACAGAAGGACCGCCAGGAAACTTCATACTGCCGCCGAGAAGAAGCCCTCAGGTGGGACACCAACAAGGAGGCCACCTGATCACCATAGAGATGATGATAAACTCGAGTCAAAAAACCCATACGGGAAGACTCAAGGAGAGGATCGAACCAGCTACGAGACGTACCGGCCCGATCTGCTGGAAGAGGCGGAGCTGCGGGAAAACCCTCGGGTTCGGACACCGAGCAACCAGCGCCTGAAACCAAGGCTGGGCCGGCCACCAAGGGGCCAGAAGGACAACTCTTCCCTGGTAAGTCTCTAAGCGAGTCAGGACCTGGAACAACAGCCGAACTGGGGGAAAGAGGTACAGGAACCCCCACCTCGACCAGTCTAGCCAAAAGGCGTCGACCCCGACGGCCTCGCGATCGGGGAAAGGCGCCGCATAAACGGGAAGACGCCGCGACCACGCCGACGCGAAGAGGTCCACCTCGGGGTGCCCGAACGTCTGGAAAAGCCAACGAAAGGACTCGTCGTTGACCGTCCACTTCGTGGAGAGGAGAACGAAGCGAGACAGGGTGTTGGCCAAGACGTTGGACACGCCCTGTACGTGAACCGCCAGGAGAGCCAAACCCTGAGAACTCAGCAGACGAGTCACCCGAAGTGACCAACCCCAAAGAGACAAGGACCACATCGAACCCCCGCAGTTCAGGCAATGAACCACCGGAGAGCAGTCCAAATGGAGCCGAATCGTCGATCCGCGGGCCACCCGAATCCTCCCCAGAGCAAACCACACTGCCGCCAACTCCCGCACTGTGCTGTGAGCTTGACAAAAGGACGGATCCCAACGCCCCTGGCCGGCCTGGTGAGCACTGATCACAAAACCCCAGCCGAGAGACGACGCATCCATGTACACATCGAGCGAGGGCTCAGGTAGGCGCCAAGGCACTGAACCCCGAAGAACCCGAAGAGGAAGCCGGTGACGCAGCAACCGACGCAAGGCCCCCGGGGAACCCCGAAGGAACCAGAACAGCCGACGAAGCCAAACCCGACCCGGCGGGTAGACCACCATCGCGAAGTTCAGGCTCCCGCACAGCCCCTCGAGCAACCGCCGGGTGACCCAAGGGCCCACCAGAAACAGACGAAGGCGGGACCGCAGCCGCAGGAGAGACCCCGGAGGGAGAGACAAGGAGGCGGTTCAAGAGTCCCAAACGAGACCCAGCCAGTCCGAACCTGAGAGGGAACCAGATGGGACTTCTCCAGTTCACCAAGAACCCAAACCCGGTGAGCTGGGAAAGAACCAAATCCCTGGCTAGCAAGCAAGCTGACCGGATGGGAGCCCAAACCAGCCAGTCGTCGAGGTAGGCCAACACCCGAACACCTAGGAGACACAAACGAGCCGCCACAACCCGTATAAGGCACGTGAACACGCGAGGTGCCAGGTTCAACCCGAACGGGAGACAACGAAAGCGGTAACTCAGATGCCCCACAACAAAACCGAGCCAGTTCCTGAACCGTGGATGAATCGGGACATGCCAATAACCGTCCCGGAGGTCCAGGGACACCATCCAAGCGCCCGGCTCCAAGAGGAGCCGAACCTGAGACAGCGTAGTCATCCGAAAGGAGGGGCAATGAACCCAGGGGTTCAGACGGGACAAGTCCAGAATGAACCGCAGGTCTGCGCAGTCCCGTTTCGGAACCGGAAACAGACGGGAAACCCATCTGAGGGACGAAGTCGTTTCGACGACGCCCAAGCGTACCCACTCCATGACGACTCGACAGAGCGCAGGGGAAGAAACCTGCTCTGCCAGCCCCGACCCCCCTCCAAGGAGGGACGGGCCACCCAACGCCACCGCAGGCCGCCAGACACGACCCGAAAGGCCCACGAATCGTGGGACCAGGCACACGAACAGCGCAAGCCGTCCCCCCAACGCCCCGTCAATGGGGCAAACCGCGAAAGGGCCGGCGACCCTTACGAGACCCAGAACCCCACACAGCGCGAACACCGCGTCGACCAGACGAGGGAGGGTCCGGAGGAGGAGCCGAACCCGAACCTGACACCAGAGGCCTACCACGACGAGAGGAACCCCGAGCCCTGGCACAACCCTTCCGGGGAAGACCCACCCCGGGACCCCCGGAAAACCAACAAGTCCGATATCGGACGACAAGCCGCCGACGCAGCCTGAATAAACAGCGCCACGGCCGACTCCTCAAACAGAAGAGGACAAAAAGGTGAAGAACGCCTAAGAGCCAGAGCCCAAGCAGATTCCACGGAGGAACCCAGCACCGTCTGCCGACACACGAGACGGGAAGCATAAAACAGGGAAACCGCATCCCGCAAAATCGTCGTGAACAGCTTCAACAAGGCAGCCGACGAACGCGCGGCCATAGACAAGGTGCCGGACCCCAGGACGGACCCAAGCGTCCTCACATCCTCCACGAGACAATCCAAGGACAGCTCCAGGAGGGAAAAGAACCGCAAGGCCGAAGCCAAAAGGCCCCGGGCGCACAAGTCCTCCGCAACGAGCGCCGCCGAAAGGGTGGGAACCTGCATATGGAGCTGAATAATCCCCACATCGCGGGGAAGGGCAGGGGCAAACAAGCACTCATTCAGGTACTCAAGCTCACCCCCCAGGAAAACCTGAAGTACCGTGGAAGCTTCCCGCCACTCCAGCATGAGAGAACGACAAAAGGAATGCCAGGAATCCAGAACAAGGGGCAGTCTGCTAGCCAGGACGACTCCGGAACCTCGTAACGGAGCCAGAAAGGGAACGAAGTCCCAAACCTGAACTCGGATAGATC